CCTTGGTTTCTGTTTCCTTTCTGGTCTTCTGACCTAAGTGGCCAAGGGTTCTGGTGATTGATGAGTCTTCAGGTCCAGTAGGGTGTCTCTGCTGGAGTTTTGGGGGGTCTTGGGTCTCCTGATCATAGTTTTCTTGGGTCTCTAGAGCTGACCTGGCCTCCAATAAAGCCTGAGTCTTCTTCTGGGGTACCTAAGACCAGCCTGGCCTCCAGTATAGTTGCTGGAGCTGTTCTTTCAGATGGTGTGGACTGTATGTAGGCCTATGGCATCTGTTCTTCTACCTGGTGTGGACTGAGTCTGGACCTATGGAGTCTGCTGGAGTTCCGTTCTGGCTTGTGTGGCCTGGGCCTGTTCTGGCTGGTGTGCTCTGTGCCTCAGTGTTGGAAGCCAGCTGGGATTGGGGTTGGGGGTCCAGCCTCTGCAGGGCCAGGGATGAACTAGAATGGTATTGGCCTGGGGAAGGTTGTGGTCGACAGAATGCAGGGAAGGTGGGTCAGGTCCACTGCGAGATGGGTCACTCACCTGTTCTGGTTGGTGTGAATTTGCTTTGTTGATCCTACTACCATTTTTGGTTCTGCCAGTAATGTTAAGTAATAATCTCATGGCATTTGAGTATATTGAGAATCATTTAACATTTGAAGATCTCTTTTGTAGGAAGATCAAATAAACAATTTCTGGCAAAGAAAAAAAATATAGCCAATTTACTTTTCAACATTTGACTCCAGGTAGTTCTTGCCAAGATAGTAATAGTCGATTCAGTAGATGTTATGAATACCATATCTTTGCTTTCTAACCATTTACAAAATAAAAATTCTGCCATGTTTAATAAACCTTTATTTAATTCTGTTTACAAATGAAGTTGAAATGATGACCTGATTCCTTTAAGTTAGAACATGTGAAAATGGCCTATGGGTTTACTACAGATTTATTTTTGAAAAAGCATTATACAGCCACCCAACTTTACAAACTTCACAGGAGGTCTTATATCTACATTTACACAGTAGCATTTGGCTGAGAAAAGCATGGTTTGCTAACCACTGCATTGGAAAGGGGAACGATATAATCACCTGAGCCATCACAGTTATTTATGGCTTCAAGCCCAGTGTATGCTGTGGTCTGTTTGAGAGAGTTCTCTTGAGTATGTCGTTTCCTTTTAAATACCAGTATATTTAAATGAGAGTGTCTTACTGTATTTTAAATACTTATGCAAAGAATACCACAGTTGTAGATGTTTCCTCATAATCAAATTAAGGAAAACTGAACTTTAGGTCAGAAATAGTATTTCTGTTGAGTTGAACATTAGGCTTCACTCGAGGACATTGAAGTAAAAGACTGGTTGATGAGGTTATAGGTCATAAGCTGAAGGTCCTTTCACAGTATCAGAGTTGTATTATTCCTTCCCCTTCAAATGAGGGGTGTGCATTCGTACTTGGGAGTGTTAGTATTGACTGTCAACTTGACAGAATCTAGAAACATATAGTAGACAAGCTTCTGGGTATTGCTGAGAGGGGCTGTCTATGTTAAGAAGTGGAAGTACCCTCCTTAAGTGTGGGCAGGCCCATTTTATTGGGCTGTCCCATGATCTCTGTGATCCCTACTTACAGGATTTCTCTTCAGCATCAGGCAGGCAATTTGCTGAAGAAACTAGTTTAGTGCCCTCTAAATTGATTGACTTCTGACACTGGCCAACTGTAGGTAGCCTTCAGAACTCAGGGTTAGAGATTCAGCCCCAGCAGCCTACTCTCCACTTCAGTTGCCAGTTTCAGGCTCAGACCCTGAAACTTCTGGTAGACTATCAGTTGAGAGTCTCATAACCTGCATTTTAGGTTTGGTTAGTTTGTCTGAACAAACAACTCATAGAACTCAAGGGATCAATATACTTGCATTTATTGGTTCATTAAAAGAGGATATTTTAAGGGCTACAGGTCCATAGACTGTGGTTGATATATTGTGCACCCCAATAAACTTATCTGGGGGGCATAGAACAGAACAGCCACTATAATGAACATAGTTTAGGCAGTGGTAGCACATGCCTTTAATCTTAGCATTCCGGAGGCAGAGATCTCTCTGGATCTCTGTGAGTTCAAAGCTACCCTGGAAACAGCGAGGCAAGGTGACACACACCTTTAATCCCAACACTTGAAATCTCATGTCTTGCTTGGGAAAGACATATGCCTTTAATCCCAGGAAGTTATGGCAGGAAGCAAAAAGGTATATAGGCATGAGGACCAGGAACTAGAAGCTTTTGGCTTGTTAAGCTTTTAGGCTTTTAGCAGCAGTTCAGCTGAGATCCATTTGGATAAGGACACAGAGACTTTCAGTCTGAGGAAACAAGATCAGCTGAGGAATTGGCAAGGTGAAGTTGGATGTGACTTGTTCTGTTTCTCTAATCTTTCAGCATTCACCCCAATACCTAGCTCCGGTTATTTCATTTTTAAGACCATTTAGCAATTTGTCTTATAATAGACAGATGACAAGACAGAGTAAGGGCAGAGACAGTGGCTTCTGTCCCCATGGAATTGGGATGTGCCATACTCCCAGCACATGTTTTATCTGTATAGAGATGGCCTGCGCTCTTTTTCAGCTTTTTTCACCTACATCAGCATGATTGAAGGATAGCCAACTGCAGTTGGACAATAAACATAATCTAATGTAAATGAACTGGGAATTGTCAGCCAGGAACAGTGGCTGAAAGGCAGTATGTACCAGTCAGTGGTACTGCACTAATGAAACACTTAAAATGCTTATTACTAGACTTGAAAACTCATGTAGTACATAATGATTTTGACTCTACTGTGAAGACTTAACTCTCAACAAATTATACATTCAACTGCTAGCAAAGTATATACATCAGCCTACATACAGACCTTTGAATGTATAATCAAGCAATCTCACATGTTTATATATGCAAGATAGACATGTGTGCTGCAGACTTGCTTTGGCAGGAGGGTTCAGGTCCCAAAGAGGATGTGTCGATCTGTGGTTAGGGGGAGGGGAATGAAGAAGGAGACTATCTGTGGGTGAATCATGAAAAAATACTACACCTTTTATTGTACTTAGGATTAAATGGGAGAAAAGGGGCATGTAAGCTGGGATGATGCTTGAAATCCATGAGGATTCAAGTGTTTAATTGAAAAAATACTACACCTTTTATTGTATTTAGGATTAAATGGGAGAAAAGGGGCATGTAAGCTGGGATGATGCTTGAAATCCATGAGGAAGCTAGCCTTGACCTTGACAATAGGCACTAGTCATATGTTAATGAAAGGACCTTAAGTTTCTCTTGCCAGAGATAAGGAGAATGACTGCTTTAGTGAGCAGGAACATTCCTCAAGCCCCAGAGGGAATGGAGACCCTTATCCAAATGCCTGACCCTGGGAAAAAGAACTTCTGGGGAGGAGACATTATACTACAATTTCTTAGTCTTACTATACGGGTTTGTTCCACTCACACACTCCCCAAAGGGAAGGTCCTGATGTCTTACTCTTTTCTCATTACTCAGTACCATTCTGATTTTTCTACATTTGTTAACTGAACTCTTGCCATTAATGGCCTCAGGCTCTGGATCTGAATTGTAGGTTTTTCATCCTTGGGATCAAGTGTATCTAGTAAATCTCTCACTTTCTTGTTCTTGGTGTAATTAGGAAGGCACAATGGAATTCCTGGTTCCACAGTGGCAGGAATTTTTTCCAAAGAATGATTTTGTTTAGAGAGGCTATCGTTGTACACATTTTTATCCTTTGCCAAAGCCCGCACAAAATTTCCCAAAGGGAAAGGCATTAATAGTGAGAATCATTAAAAATGAAAGTAAAAAGGTGCTGGAGAAGTGTGGTCTGCAATGTTGAAATGCTGGCACTTTGTCAAGCAGCAATGGTTGCCATACGGTCCACACCACATGTGCTCATGAATATTTCAGCTGAGATCACACTGCATTTTCCTGCATGAAGGACTTTTTCATTGACTATTTTCCAAAGTAATTTGATGTAATAGTTGTGAATTTAAAACATGTAAACTCAAACTGGCCGTGGTAGCATATGCGTGTTTGTTATACCACTGGAGGGTTAGGACAGAAGGTTGAAAGTAGAAGGCCTATTTGAGCTGCAAACTTAAATCTAACCTTTTTTCTCCGTGTTTTAATCTGGCATAAATCTACAAGCATGTAAGTTAAAATCCCATTTTCATTTAAACAGGCTGATAATGCCACTCATTGGGAAGTATTCTTGCCTGTTGTGCACAAAGATCTGATTTAGTCCCTCTTGCCACACAAAACCAGACTTGGTAAATGCCTATAATAGGAGTACTGTAGAGCTGGAGATAGGAGAAATTCAAGTGAGTTCCAAGTCTGCAGAACTGCATGAGGTCCTATCTGAAAACAGGTGTTTTTCCTTTCAAAACTGGGGGGGGGGGGGGTTTGTTTGGTTGGTGTTTTGTTTTGTTTTGTTTTTAAGCCGACTATGTAGTTGTTAGAGACATCAAACTCCAAAATTTTATTTTCCTCTTAAGGCATATATAGGTGGGGGCAAAGGGGGGTGCAAGCAGGGAGGGGACTTTAATCATGGGTTGTTCAGCCAACAGGGAATGTTGCTATTGGGATTATCTATTCTTGCCTAACTGCAGCGCGGTCACCTGATTTCTGAGAAGAGGTTCTGGTGCTATGGAGACTTAAGCAAGGCCTAGATCTAGGAAAAGAGGAGAGAAGCCCAAATATGGCGGCATGTGTGTCAAGGGTCACTTAGGCTTATGGCTCCCGTCATGTTCTAACATTGACTTTTCCCTATTTTTATGTAATATGTTTTCTGGGTCTGATTATTAAAATTTTGAATTTTGTGTTTCTTATACACATAGATCTCTGTAAATGTTCTTTGACATTTTGTTAATATTTTTCTTTTCCTACTAAATGAGGCATAGTCACAACTGAAGTCATTTGATTTATACTTTTGAGTTCACATTTGTGTGCCTATTTAAAGATAATGTATATTTTCTGCCTCCTTTTTTTACAGAACACACTAAATATAACAAACAATAACTATTACTCCGTTGAAGTTGAAAACATCACTGCTCAAGTTCAGTTTTCAAAAACGGTTATTGGAAAGGCACGCTTAAACAACATAACTAACATTGGCCCACTTGATATGAAGCAGGTAAGCCTCAGGCAGGGACAGGCTGAATGAGTTCAGTGGTTCTTCACCCTGTGTGCTGTAAAATGGAACGAGGTGGGGCATGTCCTCAAAGACTTGGACATGTGTCCCATAGAAGTACAGAGCAAGTTCATCAAAGAAAAGATGTCTAACTCTTGAAAAGTTTTGATTATCTTTAGTGTTTGGATCCTATCCTCCAGTGATATGTTTTCCTTGCTGTTTTCTTGTGTTTGCTTTCAGATTGATTATACGGTACCCACAGTTATTGCTGAGGAAATGAGTTACATGTAGTAAGTGTTGATTTTTAGTAACTTTACCTTTTGTTTTCTTAATAACCTCATCAGTTAAAATGGCCACATTTTTCAATGTTTGCTCTGTTCTCTAAACATGCTTTTCTTCTTTGTACTCTACAGTATAAATAACATGTATATATGTATCCATAAAATTCATCTTTATTTCCAGAATTATATATATATTATATATACATATATTATATATGTATATGTATATCACTTACTTTTAGTTACCATTTAGTTACAGTATAGTAATGGCGTACTGAGATTTCTAATCCATAATAATACTCTTAAGGATTTGTAGTTCTGATGATTTTTTAATTTTGTGTGTGTGTGTGTATATGTGTGTGTGTGTATATATGTGTGTGTGTGTGTGTGAGTGTGTTGCATGTGTGAGAGTAAACACGCTCATGCATGCATTTGTGGAGGCCAGGGTTGAAGTTGAGTGTTTTTCATTATCCGTCTCTACCTTTTTCTCTAAGACGGAGGTCTGTGACTGCAAACCTAGAGCTCGTTTATTTCATGATGCTGGAGGATCAGCAAGCCCCTGATATCCTGTACCCAGCCTCTAGTACCGGGCTTACAAGTGCATCCTGCCATGCCTGGCTTTCAGTCTGAGTGCTTAGTATCCAAACTCAGGTCCTCATGCTCACACAGCAAGCATTTTACCCACTGAGCCATCTCCCCAGCACTTCTTATATATTCTTAATAGTGTCTTTCCAGGCACAGTTACATGGGCCCTCATTCCCAGCTAGGAAGAAGGCTGAGATGGGGAAGATTATTGAGGTCAGCCTACACAACATATGGACATTCCATCTCAAAGGGAAAAAACAAAACAAAACAACAATCAGTATTCAGTGTCTATTAGGTTTAATGGAATTTTTGGTTAATAATATAGTAACATTGCTCTTCCTATTTTAATTTCTTTAACAGCGATTTCTGTACACTGATCTCCATCAAAGTACACAACATAGTACTCATGATGCAGTAAGTATGGCTATGTTTGCAAAAATAGCTCTTGCTAAGACTTTGAGTTTATAAAGTCCTGTAGGCTATGCATCCCCATGAAAGCCATCTCAGTTGGGCCCTCAGTCTTACAAGAGTGCTGTGTAAAATGGAAAGGTTTTCTCACTTCGCTAGCTAGAGTATGATTGCTCAGAGACACAATTAAAAGCCTCCAGGCATTGTGGGAGCTCAGGAAAATGGCAGGGTTAGCACAGAGAGGATGGCCAACAGCCATTCCTTTCTGCTAGATAAGTAAACTTACATCAGCAAGGAGGAATTATGCTTTGGGTTTATAAATTGTGTGTTGTTTATGTACATAAAATATTATTGGTTGTATTTGATATTTTCTCCATTGGCTGACATTTAATTTTCTGTTTTTCTATGATGAGGGAACCATGAGATTCTTTTTTTTTTTTTTCGGTTTTTCGAGACAGGGTTTCTCTGTGTAGCTATGCCCCTTTCCTCGAACTCACAGAGATCCGCCTGCCTCTGCCTCCCCAGTACTGAGATTAAAGGTGTGCGCCACCACCACCCGGCACCATGTGATTCTTTTTAAGCATGTAATAAACTATTTTTCAGTCAAAATAACTATTTTAATTATATTTAAGATATATTTTATAATTATATTTTATAAATATTTTACATATTTATAAAGAAATATATGTGTAATTATATATGTTTATATATGTATTATTTAAGCAGATAATTGGATAGGGTTTGCTCAGTTAGCATTTTTGGATCTGGTGAAGAAATATTCCCTAGAAGTCCCGTGTCTATAATCTTGTTATCACTAATACCAAATTCAAATAATCAATAACTGATAATTATAATTCTCAATAAGTAATTTTAGGACATTAATTAATTTATGAGATATAAATTCATATTAGGCTGATTTTAACCTCATAAATCCCCTTGGTAAAATTTTTAAATATACCTTGCATATTCTTTCCATTGATTTCATTTCTAGGGTAACTGTAACAACGACATACTTTGGACACTCTGAGCAGATATCTCAGGAGAGGTACCAGTATGTCGACTGCGGAAGGAACACCACTTACCAGTTGGCCCAGTCTGAGTATCTCAATGTACTTCAGCCACAACAGTGAACTCTGAAGGAGATGTGATAGAGCAGAGGACACCCCTGAGGCATTTCCAGAACTGTCAGTGAGGAGGCACTGCCTAGAAGGACATCTTGAATTGGGCATGTCTAAAGTTGAAACTAGAACACTGAGGGTTCAGCCAACAGAAGCTGCTCCTTAAGCAGTTACTGGACTCTGGTTCTGTGTCGAGGATTTGCTCGTACCAAGAGCTTTTACTTGATCGTAAGTTAACTGATTGGCTTTCTTCTCATCTTTGTTCCCAAGGTGAAAAAACCGGAGACTTCCTCTAAATACAATAAAGAATTACACAAAAGTCATAGACTTAATCTGTAGCTCTATTGATAATATAGTTCAGTCATGAACGTAATTTGAAAAATAATTCTGAAGATTTTTATATGAAATTACTGAAAGTCTATTATTCATGGAAGACTTTTAAAATCTAACCTGTTTTATAAATTCCCATTCTTATATGATGGTAGTCTTTCGACTATATGATAACTTAGCTATTAGCTAAATGTTTTTAGCCTTTGATTTGTTGAAATTCTACTCATTTGCATGTTTTGTCTTATTTCTAGCTAATGGTTGTATAATATTTACCAACCATAACAGTCTGCACAATTCTGGTCTACACTTTTTAAGAGCCTCTCAGTATGTGCTTCATGTATATAGCTTTGTGAACTTTCTGTGTGGTCCCCAAACACACTCCTTTTTTGTGTACAATATTGTAAATAAACTGCATGGCTTTTATACAGCTTTGATAAAGGTCAAATGAAATGGTACTGATTAAGAAGTAAAGCAAGTTGTTCATAAAGAGTAAAGGAGGACAATGAAATTCAGAAATATATAAAATATCAGTAGATTCCAGCTACTTGTTGGGTCTGACATAAAATAGATATTCAATAAAACATTTTGATGCTTTACTTTTATGTTGCTTTTCATATTAAGAATTATATGGATATTTTCACAATGATTAGATATCATCAATTTTATGAATGCTAAATGGAAGGAAATTATTTTTTACTACAAATTATTCAAGAAATCCTTTCATTGAACACTGGTGGCTACATCAAAATAAAACCTATAGTTTGCTTGTATATCATACTGATTTGATACTTCTAGCAGCTGCATAAGTATTCCTTTTTTACTTTAATTTCATCTAACATTGTTTTCAAGTATGATGGATGTGTTTGCCTTGTGGCTTACATTTTCAGTGTCATATTCCATAAGGTGTTTTTCCTTATTCACTCAGAAAATTCTAAGACCCTTTTAAAATATATAACACTAACCATAGGAGCTAAGTATGATAACAGGTTGATTTTTTTTGTTTGTTTTTTTTCCTCGTGACAGAAATTGGGTTTTCCTTTTCCCATATTCAAGTGCCTACCTTAGTTGCGTGTAGTTGCGTGTAGCCTATTTGTCAGTGTGGCTCTTAAGTATGAAACATAGATTCTAATGACTTAATCTTGTCCCTTAAGCACACTCATATCTCCCTTAGCTTTCATACCATATTCCCCATGTGAGTGAACATTTCAAACATCCATTTTTTTGTATCTTGCATTCCTCAGGCGTTATGAGGTTAGCATCCTTTCTGTCATACCCAGATCATCCTTTGCATCATTCAGTCTCTAATCAAACCAGTCTTCGTTGGAAGTTTTCTTTTGCTGTGCTTGCTGGTCACCTCCCACCCCCCCCCACCCCCCCACCCACCCCCCACCCGTTCATTCTCCTTCAGTCCCCCCGTTCATTCTCCTTCAGTCAGCACACTGGTTGTGCTTACATTTTCCAAATTAAACTCACGTCATTATCTGTATTCTCTCATTTTGACATAACCAATGTCTGTGAGTCAACTGCTTTTCCTTTTTCTAGAAGTGTTTAATCCTATTACTTCAAAATCACTAGTTAGACCTCCAAGCCTTGTGTCTTCTTGACTAGTAACTATGTAGTTTCATGTTTACTCAGTTAGCTTTCATAATTAATGATTTTTCTATGTGTAAAAACAAAATGTAAAGAAATCTTTTAATGATTTCTCTTGTGCTTTTTCCTATTCTTCATGCTTCATTACATGGTGTGCAAAATCATCATTCATTCATTACTTCAAAATCAATCTTTACATATGGCTCATATAATAATTTGTTTCTTCAGTGTGTATTTTAGTCTGGGATAGCACTGTGTAAGTGAGGAAGTTTGTTTTCACCTTCTTCTAGAGTACATGTGTAAGGCCTGAAGAGGCAGGCCAGTGCAGCAAGTGGAAGTGCACAAAGTGAAGCAACTTTGTGCCCAGTGACTCGGTTTCAAAATCTTTAACTCTTTAAATTGAAAATTCGATCGCATCTACACATCTAGGGTTGATGTCTAATTCTGATGATGTTTGAGTCATAAAATAAAAAAAAAAAAAAAAACACCTTGGAATTTAAACCCAAGTAAAAGATAAAAGGAAGAGAGATGTAGATTCCTTGTGACTATTCAAGGAGAATCAAGTAACTCCTGGGTAAGCCAGGGTGGTAACAAGCTGTAAGTTAATAAAACTAAACTAAAACAAACAACAACAACATTTTTAGAGAACCCAAACAGTAGCCATAAAAACATTTGAAAGAATGAATGAGGCTTTAACTTTTCTTAGGTCAGTGCTGAGTCTGGCTTCTGGCATGGAGAAAGGGTAGGTATTAACATATTTTTATGAGTACCTCTATAACTTAGACTGGCATATGATGAAGACAGTACATGCTTTCAGAAGCAAATTCTGTTTTACCCTGATCCAACACTGCCCCGGCCTCACAATATCCTGTACAACACACTGGCTGCTGCTTTCTGTCTGCTTTTCTTATGTGATTTCTCAGCAGGGTACTGAGAGGATTGCTTTAAAATTACAGACTAGTACATACTTACACTGCAGCCAGAACTAGGTTCTCTGTCTCATATTTGTGCCCTATCATTTAAAATATCCATCAGAAAGCCATGGTAACTCGGTTTAATGCAATTAGAAATCAGAAGTGGCCAGCAAAATGATTCAGTGGATAAGGATGATTACCACAAAGCCTGATGACCTGAGTTCAGTTTCTGCATCTCACAGCAGCAGGAGAGAACTGGCTTCTGCAAGTTGTTTTCTGATGTCCATGCACACACAGTACCACATGTATATGCACACATGCACATACACACACACACACGCACAAATGCATGTGAAAAATAGAATAAAAATTCTTGAAGTTAATAGTGATGGGCTAAGATGTTGGTAACTTTGAATTGCTATCTGGAATATTTCTAAAAGTAAACTAAACAATGTAGAATACTTTAGAGCCAATCCTGGAACTTAATTTTTGTGTTAATGTTTAATACTTTTTCAATAATTCCAATAAAAATAAAACTGGCATTTTCAGTGTGAATTATTTATAAATAAGACTATTACATTTGAGATTTGAAATACAGTGTGAAAATATTAGACATGAGATAAATTCCTTGAAATTGCTTGAAAGACCATCTGACTGAGATATTTAATAAAATATAACTTTATTTTGTGTTCAGTTTTCTTTTGATTCCTGTTTACTTTGGCTTAATGAATTAGTTATTTTCTCTAAAAAAAATAGTTACAAAGAATAAAATATAACTCACAAAAAAAATATAACTCTTCAGATCTTATAATTTGCACTTAGGAAATGGCAGTGCAGTATAAAAAGGGTAGGAGATAACATCAAAACACAGTATAAGTGACATCTCAGGAGACTTGAGTCTTGGCCCTAATGAGTCCTTTTTGGTTCTTAGCCTTACTGTGATATAATGTTGGGTATTATGTTGGCAGGTGTATCGCTGAGTCTTTGCATTCTGTTTGTTTTTTAAAGTACTTAAATCAACAGGTCTTTACATAATGCTTCTTGTTTTAGAAGATCATTCCATTCATATACTTTAAAAATATGAAGAGTTTTACGTTTTCAAATACATCATCTGTCTTCTTTGACAAGTAATATGAGCTAAACTTAAAGCTGCTGATGTGTAATCAAAAGGTAAACCGGGTGCCCTCGGGTAAGAGTTTGAGATCCGTGAAATGCAACAGTTGCTTGGCTCAGAGTACTTCTTAGAGGGGTCAGCTTTGTGCCTCTCACTTTTTTTGTGAAATTAGGTTTTAACTTTTTAAAGAAAAATTATTACTTATCTGAGATAGTTGGATAGTAATTATTCAATTTTTATTTTTTGATTAAAACAGATGTCTTTGTGATATACTTGGATCAAAAATTTAAATTCTATATCCAAGATCTATTTGCATAACAATATTCATTTACAGTTTCTAATTGGAACTACATTGTATATCTTTAGCTTGCTTAGATAAATGGTTTCACAGAGGAGTTTGGAAACTTGTCTTTAATTTGGATAAAACCAACAGTGATATGGTTACTGTAGGAATGGAAATGGAGTTCCCATGTTCTAAACTGAATGCAGTTCCTTCTGTAGTTCTTTTTGCACATCTAACATGGAGTCCAAGTTGAAGAACATAGTGTGGTTGCTGTTTGACTCTCAAAGCACGGCATAGATAACTTAGCAAGATTATGAGAAGCTTTCCATAGTTGAGTCTAACTATTCTAGAAGGAAGTTGTTGCCTTCTGTTTAATTACATTAATTGAAATGTGTTTAAGAGAAATGTTTTCAGGATATTTTGTATGCTGTAAAACACAAAAGAATAGTATTGTGCCAATGGCCAAAGTAATATTACTACCATGTAGATGATGAAGTTCAAATTGACTGACTTCACCCAGAATTTTAGAAACTAGAAGTCTGGGGGATACTGCATCAGCTGTATTGGGTGATTCTTCAGTGTTGTACATGCTGTTCATCTTGCAATTGTCCAGGATGAGGAGGAACAATGCCAGGCTATACCAGATGCAGAATTTGATTACACAGAGGCTGGCTTCAGACATAAAGCATCAGCCAGTCATGTCTGTGTATTTTATCCTATAATTCCTTTTAGAACTAAACTGAGAAGGTTTTGGGAAATGATTTGGGATGTCCACTGATTGCATGAATGACAGTATTACTAGACTCTAACAGTCAATTTAAATTGTGGAAGAGAGAACGTAAAATATGTTCTGTATACTTGCTCTTTAGTGACATCCATCATGGTATACCTATTAAATTTACTGTTTGTACAGTTCTGAATTATAGTTATGATTACTATTCGTGTAGGGAAACACGGTTATGATAGGAGCAAAAGAATAGACATGCCCCCCCAATGCTATTTTTAAATTCACTTGTAACCGTTACTCTTATACTTGTGTATGACAAAATTAAATTTGTAAAACATTTTAGCATGAAAAATAAAATTTGTATCAACAAATTATTTGGCTTATGCTCTTGAAATCTTGAAGGTATAGATACTTTAGTCCCCTCATCTCTGAGAGTCTTGAGAGTGAGCTCATCTTTGACTTCTCTTTCTTTGATCCACTCTAGCTTCCATTTTGTCCTCAAGTTCCACCCTTTCTACCCATGCAATCTCTCTGGAATCTTGTGTGTGGAATCTCTATTGCCTATTCTTTACAGGAAAAAAAAAAAAAAGCCTAGGTCCTTCCGCTGGTGTTAACCCTTAATTGTCTGATCACAACCTAACTTTACACCCTGTGTCTACCCATGAGCCTCCCAGCAAAGCTGAGAGCTGTGCTGGTCCTTGGGAATGTGTGTCAGCCCTTTGCTCATTCCATACATTTCTTCACACAAAATTCTGTATCCATTTATTCTCGCCCCGTCCTATCATTAATATTCAGCTCATACCCTACTCCTTGCTCCCTTTCTTTCAAATGGATTCACAGTTGGTAACAGTGTTCCAGCTTTGTGCTTTTCAATCATTTGCCTAATTGTGAAAGGAAAAGTTATATTTAAACCTAAAATGTTTTCTTCTAAACTGAATTTAATAGCGTTTAAATTTTTGTTTAGAACATTTATTCAAACACTTTTCTCAACAGGTCTTTTTGTTGTTCTTGTTGTTTTTGAGACAGGGTTTCTCTGTGTAGCTTTGGAGCCCATCCTGGAACTAGCTCTGTAGACCAGGCTGGCCTCGAACTCACAGAGATACGCTTGCCTCTGCCTCCTGAGTGCTGGGATTAAAGGCATATGCCACTACCACCCGGCTAACAGGTCTTTACTTTAAGCACAGTTTTTAAAATGTTGTGAAAAATAGGATGAGCTGAAGTTCAATGCGCCCTGAAGTATGTTGGTAGAAAATGAAGAAAGAAGAAGTGTTTGTTTTACTTTTGTAAGTCTGATTTTTTTTTTTTAACCTGGACAGTTTGTAAAGTGAGAAAGAAGTAACAAATTGATGAGGCTTTTATTCTGGTAAATTTCAATTCCCTTGATCAAAATTGTCAGATTTTCCTCTAAGATGTAACTTTTGGTTTTTAAGACAGCATGCTGTATAGGAGCCCAATATGTGATGTCAGGTCTGCCTTGATTTGTGAGGAACAAAAGGCAAACATCTGCAGACAGCTCTAATGATCAACAAAGGTGTTTTGATGTGCCGTAAGTGAGCACATTGAAGCTTAACTCTACATCTCACAAACAGCTTGCAGAATGACAGTGAAAAGTGGTTTTTACTTTCTGACAGGTAGCTTTCTGCTTTTACTCTAATGTTCAGTCTTGAACGGGAAATTTTCAGAAATTTTTGCAGTGCATTATATTTTATGGTGATATCATAAGTCAAAATTTGCCTTCTGAATCCAGCGCTGTAAGTACTTAGCCATCACAACCGTGGCCAAATTTATCATTATTTCATAAACCCAGGTACCAGGAAGGAGACACATTATTTATAGACTTTTAAAAAGTCACACTGAACTGAACAGATCAGGTGCAAAAAGAATCCTGCCCCTAAATGTAAAAGAATGTTTCTCCCAATGAAACAAATCAACTTTTGTCTTATAATTCTTTTTTTGTTCTTTAGAGTAAACATAAATGAGCTATCAATTAGACATTAACAATCTTAGACTGAAAACATAAACAAAATCTCCCCGGTCATGATTGTAAAGGGCTTGGTTTAGATAAATATAAAAACCTCAGCCAGTAAGACGTAGCCAACTAGGATGGTTATGTAACTGGGGACTTTCCAACTAGATAAATTTTTTGGCATGTTGATTGTTTTTACATAGCTGAAAATTAAACTTGTGGGTTCATGCATGCTGCACAGGCATTCTACTGAGCCACATCCTCAGCTCTAAAGAATGTTTCATTTTCCTACCAGATAATTCTGACCTTTTTGTCATTGGACCTTTCTTCTGTCACACATTACCCAATTCGTTAATTCTTTCTCATTCAAACTCTAATGTTACTAGAATTTTACTCTTAAAAAAAACCCAAACCTTTAAAAAAAAGATGCTGGAGCAATTTAGTATACAAACATAACGTGGCCCACATTCTTTTTATCTGGGAGGCACTTCACCTCCCTCCCGTCACCCTTAATCACATTGGTCTTGTGATGAACTAGTCTGAGCTTCAATGTTTTAAAGGGGATATGAGGTAAAGATGCTAAGGCATCAAACCGAGCTCTCTCCCAGCAGCTGACCCTCTGGATAGCGAGTAGTGTGCCGGCCTTCTGATGGCCATCTGCGTTCTGCAGTGCCTGGGCATCTTTGGGCATTCTCATTGGTCTATCCTCATAAGTTGAACAGATATTTTCTGTGTAAGCTATGGGTGGATTAAGCAGCTCTGTACATTAAGGAATGATGAAGAAAATAACTTTTCTTATTAATCCCACTAAATTAGATATAAGCTGTGTGGTGTATTTCCCATCTTTTGTTAGAAACAGATTATACAATTGTTTTCTTATTTTTCCCTTCAGTTATCTCTGGGTCTTAGACCTACCTTTATCATTTCACTATATTACAAAGGCAAATATCTTAAAACATATATACCTTCATAAGTATCAGTAGTAAGACAACAGATTTTCCCAACAACTGTGTTGTATGTAGATGCACTCGGTGAACAGGAACACTGACAAGGAGCCCAGAAAGATGGCCTCTCTGCAGGTGAACCCCATAAAATAGTCTGTGCATCACCAAGATTTTTAAGCACTAGAAACACTCAACTTTTTTTTTACTTTCCAGTTGAAGCAGTGCTCAAAGGCATTTTCTCTCAATAAGCATTTTTATTTAGTTTATCTAGAACTACAGACAAAAATACAGGCAGCAGGCTGCCACTCTGCATTGCTTGATAAACTGCCTATTTAAAGTTTTAGACCATTCACTCTAATAGGATTCCAGTTGAGCTGCAGAAGCATTTAACCAGGCCAGTTGGCTGTATCCAGAATTAATTGGAACTCAGACTAGTGCAGATAACAGATGTATTCAACTGTAATTATTTTGCAAGGCTAAGTTACTTTGTATCTTAAAGGTTGGAACCTGAAAGCAGCATAAGACTATGTGTGCTCTTACTATGAGCAATACTTTTTATTTTCAGAAAATAGGTAATATTCATGGGATTATTTGGGTTAGTTTTAGCCTAAAGACCAAATTTACAAAATGACAGGTAGATTCAAATCCATTTATTTCAA